GGTAGGAGTAAGGAAATAAATCCATTTTATTTCTTACTCCTACTTTAGCTCTTAAGCGTGGCCTACAATGGCAGTAGGAGTAGTGGATTAAAGAAGTAGGCTCAACTTTAACCTATTTCGTGAACTGATTATCAGTGGCTGAGAGTAAAGGAGTAAGGCTGTAAGCAAAATGGTTCAATTCCATTTCGTACGACCTACTCCTTTACTCTCAGCCACTGATAATCAGTTCACGAAATAGGTTAAAGTTGAGCCTACTTCTTTAATCCACTACTCCTACTGCCATTGTAGACCACGCTTTAGGCTTACTCTCGGTGAATCAAAATGCCATGATTGATGGCATTTTGATTCACCGGGAGTAAGCCTAAGAGCTGAAGTAGGAGTAAGAAATAAAATGGATTTATTTCCTTACTCCTACACCTTACTCCAGCTTACTCCAGCTTACTCCATGTATTGTAGACCAGCCTTGAGATTGAGATTAGATTGAAATTTGACCAATCAGAGTAAAGTTTACTAATTTCAAGTTTAGTGATTTTTATTCTAATTGGTCAAATTTTAATCTAATCTCAATCTCAATTTATAGTCTGACACAGGCTTTATAGAGTCTCTAGAAAGCAAACTCTTCTATTGGACGACAGTGCGAATTTTCCCATTATGCAGGATTCACACTGGATCCGATATCCGACGCGTACGACGTCCAATATCCAATACCTCTGCTAAGGCCCGGTTTCACCAACGCGAAGCAAGTCGAAAACGCTATAATTTATTACATTGCAAGCAATCCAGCATGAAAAGGGCGCAAGAGAGAGATAGAGCAGCGCGCGTTCGGAATCTCCGAGCCGGCGTGTGTGCACTCTCGAAGAACGAGCGATCGCGCGCTCGCTCTCGAATCGCGCGAGCGGTCGAACCTCGAATCGAGCGTCGCGACCTCGGCTACCCAGGCTGGCCTAACCGTGTTCGTTCGTGGTGTCGCGACACGGCGATATTATTATTGTGCCCCCCTCCCTCCCTTCGCCCCTCGTGGTTGGTACCCGACGCGACTGATCCGCGAGTTCCCGGCTCCCGGCATATACGGCCGACGAGGACAGTCTGAGAGGAGGAAGGAGCTTCGAGCGTCGTCCTCGTAGTCGTTGTCGTCGTCGTCGCCTCCGTCGCCGTCGTCTTCGTGGCTGTTGCCCTCGCGCGCCGCCCCCCTCCCGCTCTTCGAGCGAGTTGTCCGCCGCCGCCGAGGAGTCTCGTTGGCGAGGTGCAGCGCATCCTTCTAGCCTCGCCGCTCCTGTTTTTGCCTTTCGCCCGACGAGCGCGACGTCGAACAAGGTAAGCGTACCTCGCGGGTCACGCACACGCTCGCCGCACGTGAACTCGCGTCCGCGTCTCCCGTCGAGACGCGGTCCTACACGTGCACGCGCCGTGCGCCTATTCCTATCGGCGAGTGACGGCTACCTGAGGGATATTTCCGCCTCAGGTGCGCGCCGCGCGGTGTGTTGTTGCTCCCCCGCTGACGAAGGACGTCGAAATTTCGTATCGCGGGATTCTGGAGCCTACGAGCGCGAAGATATCTGCCTCGTGGTGGGAAGCCCGCGTCTACGTCTTGCACGAAAAGAATTGGCCTGTTTAAAGTTTTCGTCTCTCCGCGGGCCTCGCGGACGCCGAGAGACTTGTTGTAGAAACTTCCGGAGGCTTCCAGATCTTCCGGTATACATATCTTTAGTCTTGCAAACAGCTTCTCGGCGAGCGTTTTCTCTAAAGGCTAGTTTATGCAAGGCCGCGACTCTTAAATTACACCAGAATTGGTAAAAATTATCCAATCGCCGTTTAACGCGAGGAGAATAGTTGGCTGTAATTGGTTAATTTTTACTGATTCCGGCATAAGTTAACGGTTACAGTCTTGCATAAACCAGCCTCAGGCCTCCCCGACGTAGGTCTGAAAGGTAACGGTGGAGACTTTCACCCCGTTAGATATGATTGTAAAATTTTTCATTCGTAAACAATGCTCTTGATCGTCAGTGTTTTGTGATTAGAAGCGTTTATTTCTCCTGATCGCTACAAAATTGAACGACGGAACGTTTGTTTGATCTCTATACGACATTATAATATGGAGAATCTGTTTAGAAACGTTAAAATAATTCAATATATTAAAAATGTATTTCATTTACACGAAAAATTGACTCTGTTGGGAAAATACAAGTTGCGGTTTAAATGTTTTCAGATTACTCTAGTCTCTAGTCGTGTATATTTTTCAACTTGAAACTCTTTTACCCATTCAAAGGAAAATTACTCTAAATTCGAGCTGTTTGACTTCCAGGATTAAAGACGAAAACTTACGGCTGATTATTATCAGTTAATTGCAATGCGAAGAGAATTGTCTCGTTTGACCCGAATGTAACGTTACGTTTGTTTTGTATTTCAGAGACTACAGTTAGTAGGCTGGTCGCAGTGTCTTGGATATGAAACGTAGAAACAGCGAAGTGAAAGAGGAACCACACTCGAAGAGTGGATGTCCGCGGAAGAAATGCAAAGGGGAATGATAAAGATTGCAATGCATCGCGACGCCATGCATGAATAATTATTATACGTGTTCATATTACTGTAGAGGAGTCTGACGTATTGGCTGAAGAACCAACGTTGTCAAGGCAGCATTGTTGTACTGCATCTTACATATTTTATGTACAGCGATAGAGATAATTTTTAAACTGATATAACGTTGATATAAGGAGTAGCTTTTTTAACGAAGAGTAAAACCGTTATTTTTAATAATTAGAAGTAAACGTGTGAGAATCAAATCGTATGTGCCCAATAAGAAGATAAGCTTGTATCGGCGGTTGCGCGAGGAGATCGGCTTTCCTAAATAATGCTCAAACAGCCGCAAATAATCTGGAGTTAAACGAGAGCCTCTTCTGACACGACTTTCGAGCGAAGGGACAAGAGAGATACTTTGAGTCTCCCCCGAGGAGGATGCGTAAGAACCGAGGAAGATTATGTCCTGTGACTGTAGTATCTCACGAGATTGTTTGCGCTCGCTGCATGCCATGTGTGACTGATAATCGACTAAGCCCGCGCACGCTTTTCTATGAAGACGACGATCTGCTGATGTGAGCGTTTCCTTCGCGAACACTAGCGCGCTACTTCCAAGAGGATTAGAAACTGGTGTCGTCTCGCGCGACTCGAGAAGCAAGCAAGAAGACTTTGTGCCTGGTACGAAAATTATACTACATAAGCTAGAGATGCATGTATAAGATCAATTGTTCTCTCGAATGCTCGCTCGTTCCCATAATTGGTGCGATTTGTGTAAACTTACATTTGCATGATTTTGTGTTTAGACACGGAGGGTACAATCGACGAAGTCCTAATGCTGAAAGGAAGCTTGTCGCCGTATCTCGACACTCACAATGAAGAAGAGTCGTCTTATATAACGCTCAGCAATGGGCCGTATGGTAAATATTAGCGCCGTTGCACTTATACAATGTCAAGCATCGCTCTCGTAGCTCGCTGTATTAGATTAATCTGTTCGTTAATTCGCCATTTCCTTGTTACAGCGTATGTAGCGGATTCCACGAGCACGGAACACAACTCGTACAATCACGTCCTCGTAGATGTATACTTTGTAACGCCCATCCTCTGCAAGCATTGTAAGTACTAATTACAATTTATGCGGTTCATTACGTAAATGAAGTTGGGATCATTAAAGCGCATAGAAGCATTATTAAAATAAGTTTTCCCCACCATTTGCCATTCTGCTTTTGCGGTTTGTTTACTCGCTACAAAAGCGCGATCGAGCTATTCCCTTTATATTGGATAATTGCAATTGTGATGCAGACAAGTCTGACTTTGTCGCAAAATGTACCAATATTTAAATTTGTTCCACAGGTGAAGATTATATCTGGGGCACTGGAAAAGTGGGAGTCAAATGCAAAGGTAAGACGTTCTACTACAATCGTACAATTAGATGTAACGTTAAAGTTTCGTTTCTCTCATTCGTGTCAGACTTGTTACATATTTCGTACGATGCGCAATGATTCTTTGACCCGCTCTAGCGGTATACATGATAAATTCGAAGATAGATGTTTTCATGCCGAAAATAGCCTTCAGCAAATACTACGAGATACATGTATTCTCACGGTGGGCGAGTGAATAGGGAGAGTATGTACGAATTTTATTTATACTTAATATCTTGGTGATTGTCTCAACTACGCTGTTAACGACAGCGATTTGTATCGTCGAGGTAAACGTCGCGTTATAGACAACAAATATACACAGTCATCCTATGTTGTTCGATTCCGGAAGGATTTAAAACGGGGGATATTTCCGTGTCAACAAGAGACCGCGAGATATCGTTAAAGAATGCGAGGTGGGAGTATAAAATGTCCATTTCTACCAACGTAGATTAACTTTAATCTTGACTTAACTTAACTTGTTATCTTTTCCTAGCGTTACAAAAGATAGGAAATTAGTTAAACCGAGTTCTTAATTAATTAAAAATTAATCTGCAAACGACGGAGGTGAGCGTGAGGGAAAAGTATTCGTCTATCGCGCCGTCTACTGTGCGGACGCTTCCAAGGCAGCTCGGGCTGCGATCATCCGGGCGAACACCCGTTAGATCGCGGCTACACCCCTTTCGCCGGGATCCACGCGTGTTGATGATCGATCCTCGCGTGGATCACCGTCGAGGGCGGCACCGTAGCATAGTAACACGCCGGCGACCCGCGCCGATTTCAAGAGCGGCGCGCTATCGCGTCCCCCTTCACCTTCGCCGCCGCCGTCGTCGCTGTCACCCACCACTGCCGCGCCGCCGGTTTTTCTCCCGAAACTCCGCGGCCCTCTCCGGCCTCCGTGGCCCCGCCAATCCCTCTTCGCGACATCGTACGAGCCAGGACCGTATCTAATCGGGGCGACGCTTTCCGACTCGGCCGCGGCTATCGGTACTGACTTTTAATCACCATCAAGTATGGGGCTTCCTAAGCATGGCACAGTGATAGCTGCAATGTCAAGTTAGCGATATTATACGGCATATTGTGTAGGGAGGAAGAGTCGGAAAATACAAATACATGGAGATTGATGCGTACGGAATGTATAATTCGATGGTATCGCGGAAAGTGTTGCTATAGCTATATTTGGACATTCCCAATTACAATAATTTTCCAGTGCAGTACGCTCGAAAAGACAATAATGTAAATTTATTCAAATCATTTTGTTTCTGTTGCAACTACAATCTTTTCGGGAAATGTTAGCGTATATAAAGAATTATCTTTACATATCATAGCAGGCACGATGGTTTTAACATTATGATATTTTAGAATTTTCTTTGATAATATCTTTCATTAGTATCGTCGAGTTACGAAAGCGGATAGTTGGAAAATAAATTCATTATTTCGTAAATGCACATGTAGATTTTATTCTCATACTTTATAAACGTCCCAATTTGAGACAAATTGCTGCATATTTTACATTCGGCATTTTTCGTTGATTAGATTAGTTTAATGAAGTATTTTCGCTCTTATCTAACCGAATGCTTCGAGAGACGCACGTAGAATTTGAAAATTCAAGAATGTTGCGGCGTATTTGTTCAGTCTTAAGATATTCGCGTCTACAAGACCTAAAGAATACGCAGAACGAAAAGGAATACTTGCTATTTATTATTTAAAGAATTATGTATAATATCTTTTCTTAGTATTCGTCAAGTTATGCAAGTTGGCCAGTGGAAATGAAATTGATTATTTAGCAAATGCACACGTGGATTTTATTCTCATACTTCATACATGATTTATACGTCGTTCTAATTTGCGATAAATTGCATATTTTGCATTCGATAGTTTTCATTATTGATTAGACGAATTTAATGAATTATTTTCGCTTTTATTCAACCGAGTGCTTCGGGAAACGCGCAGGGAATTTGAAAATTCGAGGGTACTGCATTTGTTTAACGTCAAGTTATTCGCTTCTACATGACGTAAGAAATATATAGAATGAAAAGAAATACATGCTATTTGTTAAAGCGAGCGTGTTAGATAAACGTAAGCGTTACGCTGATGATTTTCGCTCGCGTGCTTCGGTTATAATGGCATTTATATTTATTCGTACACTACAAAATCAACTTTATGAGATAGGGAGAAAATACCTCGCGATAAAATGCAAAACGTCACTCGCATGGTATGCGGAATATCCATTTGCCCGACGCTCCAGCCTTACAGAAAGAAAAAAAGGAACGCATTAGCTTCTACTTTCGGTCAAGAACGTTCTCTTATCGCGGTTTCATTTTTGCATGACAGTCTTATTCGATATGCCGCCCGCCACGTGTAAGCGAACTCGCGTTGTAATTAGATCAAGTAACACCGCTCGATTCGCCACGTGACGATCGATTACCCGGCCAATTGATGTCCGATATCGCTGGCAAATTTAACGATGACTTCGTCTAATTTGGATCTCTGTCTAATTGGCCGCATTGTCGTCATTACATTATCTGCCGCGTAATTTCGTATATTGCTACGGAATAACAATTTCGTCCGTTTCATCAATTTCTCCCGCTACATCAAATTGTAACGACCTCTTTAGAGAGCCTCTCGAAGTCGTTACTTACCATCTCATTCGACACCTTTCAACATACGAGGGCCATTGCGAGAGTTCTCGAAATGGAAAACAGCTCTCTTTTTATTTTTATCTGTTTATAATTTTATCTATTTATCCTTCAACACAATCTCTCCGTTTATATCGACTTGAGCTCCAAGATCATTATTCCATTACGGGACCACGATTTGTCGAGTGATGCAAAAGAATTGAAAATCTCTTCCCAACAAGGAGGTTCTTCAAGTATAACTAGTAGGTCCACTCCGTCATTTGTTTCGTTTTACGTCGAAACCTTCTGCGCATCCGACATTTTGTTGGTCCAGCAATGAGAGAAAAGTTGTATCAAAGCTACACTACCGCGTGCAACTACAGTACGTACACACACATGCGCCGTTGGATCTGGACCAAAGACATGGTGGAATACCACGTGATCGGGACCGAAAAGATCAAAGGGCCGACAGAGAGTGGGCCTACTAGTTATACTATGCCTTCAACCGTAGAAACAAGAGAAAGTCCAACAGGGCTAGGCGAGGCTTTGACAACAAATCGCGTTTTAATTCGTGGATACTTAATTCACAGCGGCATATCGAGTTCATTCTTGTTTAAAAAATCACGCAGACAAGTTCGTTCGAAGATCTATTAAAAAATAAATAAATCAGACAGTCGTGTTAATACCTTTGTAACGGATTCATCCAGTCCTCTTTATGTCTGGGACCATTTAGAGATACACCGGGATTATCGCTGATAGAGGAATGATTCTCAAATCACATATCACTCTGGTCCCTTAAGCTACGCTTTAGTCGAATTAAACGAGTTATACTGAGGAAGACCCGAAGTGGGGTCGAAACGTTTATATTAAAGAGAAATTTTGTTTCTAAATTGTGAGGACCGTTTTCCGTTCATTTGTGGCTCACATTGGCACTCTTCCCTTTCTACATAAATAAATCTAGTTGATGGAACGAACTTTATACGTGATAGGAGGGTTAAATTTTCCACTTAACGTATGACGTCTGTCCATGACGATATGACCGTCTGCAATTTTATTCCGACAATTTTTCAAATGACCCACGCAGATGTCTAACAGCGAATTCGGCAGCTTGCACCAGTGCGCACTGCGTGCACACCGAGGCTTGTTCAGAGTCTACTCTTATATTAATAGTCATCTCAAGTACATGTCCAAGAACTGTTTAGCCAAAACAATGATCCGTATGGATGCTATACAGATCGTTTTACTGGCTAAGAAGTAGTTCCAAAAGTATTTATGATAATCATAAATATAAAGGTATAGCGCTTGTGTTTTATTACAAAATACTGACAATAAGTTTTTACGGCCAAGGTTAACAAGCTTTTTCGGTTGAACAATTATAAAATTATTTTAATAAGTAGTATGTGTTACATTGACTCAATTTCGCGGACGCGTTTCAGCACACTGTGCTTTCATCAGCGCTTACTAATGTTTAAAGTATAAATTAGATTAAATGATTACATAATATAATGATATACACTCTTAATAATACATAAATAATAAATAATTAAATAAATAATTCTTAAATATAGTCCGCATTTAGAATAAGGTATGTCCAATTATAAAATAAACGTGGTCAATTATAATAGAATCGTGGTCAAACTTCGTCCTTATCAAATTCTTTGTGTTAATTATTTATTATTTATGTATTATTAAGAGTGTATATCATTATATTATGTAATCATTTAATCTAATTTATACTTTAAACATTAATAAGCGCTGATGAGAGCACAGTGTGCTGAAACGCGTCCGCGAAATTGAGTCAATGTAACACATACTCCTTATTGAAATAATTTTATAATTGTTCAACCGAAAAAGCTTGTTAACCTTGGCCTGAACTTATTGTCAGTATTTTATGATAATCCTTAAATATAAGAAATGACTGTAAACAAGCCTTAGTGCGCACTAGTGCGAGCTGCCGAATTCGCTACAAGACCTCAAAGAGAGATTCTATCGGAGTGATGACGATTCGAACTGGGAGCCTGGACAGTCAGTACTGACGATCGTCCTCGTCTCGTATTCTTTTCCGGATATGAACCCAACGTGCTCTTGAACCTGCAGAGGGCCGGCACTTTTTCATTGAAATTGGTAATTTTTTTAAACAGAAAATGTGTGCACATATGTAATCTACATGTTCCGCGAAGTTTTCAAGTTTGCTCCTGGCCATGACTGTAGTGGTCGGTCCAGCCCTCTAAAGGTTAACGACAGACGATCTTTCGGGGGGCCTCGGGTCTCGCGTGCGACGCGTCCAAGTTTTTCCGATATTTATATGCCGGCGACAAGCCTACTTTGGCAGAGCTATTTCTAAAAATACTACGAAAACCGGCGCGATCCGGTTTTCGGGAGTGCCACGGGGTTAATCGCGCTCCCAGCTTTTTGCTTGTTCTCGTTGCAAAAATCGTCGCGCACGCTCGACGCGTAACTCCGCTCGCGCGCGTGCGAGATACGGTCGAGGTGCGTTTCGCTCTTTCCCTCTCTGTCCTTCTCTGGGAGTTAGTGACGCGCGAGTGCGGCCGTTTCGCTCGCGAAGGAATAGCGCTGGCACGTGGTAATCCTTGAAAATCGGCGCGTTCGATTATGAAGCCGCGAATGGGCAAGCGGAGCCAGCGAGCGAGCGAGCGAGACACATTTGTACGCCCACGCGACTTCGCATTTGCATCGAACGACGAATTGCTGAGCTGCTTGTCAACCGCTGCGAAATTCAATCTGTTTTTTCTCCCCCCCCCCCCCCCCGGGGAATAATAGTCACAGTAGATTTGGTATACTTGGACGTAAAGGTCTAAATTATTAAATAAATATGACGCCAGAAGAAATAAATACCTCGAGAGTGCCTGCTTCGATATTCCGCCTTATACTCTCGTAAGAGAAACGTTTGCGTTTATGCCGAATTAAAGATAAAAATTGCACGACGTTGGGAGCTATTGTTGAGATAAGTTGGATTAAATTATGTTCCACCTCCAGGGAACTTCGTGAGACAAGATGTTGTCTCTACTTTCGGACCAATCGACCTCTCGCTAGAAATATTTATCCTTTAAAACGAACTTGACGTTGATCACATGTTTGCAGCTCTTATAAATAAAATCCATCTCTATCTAGGCGTATCCAAGTTTATCCACGTGTAATCGACATTTTCATTAAAGGAATATCGACATCGTGCTGGCTGCAGAATCTATTATTAAAGCTAGACTGCTCATACGCTTAATTAACACTTTTCTCTTGTGGGTTAGACAGTTTAATATTTTCATGTTTTTATTTTGCGTACATTTTTCGCGCTGTTGGCAGTTTCATACGATACGCGGACGATAATACGGCAAAGTAACTTTTTAACAGCGGTGCTGATGACATAAGGTCATACGATCGAGATGGATAAGACAGACTCTCTAAAATTTTTGGAGTGAAATTTTCACTCGAATCACAATCACTCGCGTTACTGACCACTTCACTCTATTCGAGTGAATATTTACTCCAATAGAGTGAATTCACTCTAAAGCCAACGGTACGCGATGCTACTTTTTCCTACTGGATTACTTACGAGAACCAATAAGGACGCAGAGTTTTAAGCCAACGGTACACGATAACATTTTTTTCACTGGATTGCTTACGAGAACCAATCAGGATTTAGCCTTCGGTCACCCGATCTAAAACTCTGCATTCTGATTGGCTCTCATAAGCAATCCAGTAGAAAAAGAAACAATATCGTGTGCTGTTAGCTTTAGATTAGGTGCCTTAAGACTAAAGCCAACGGCTCACGATATTATTTTTCCTACTGGATTGTTTACGAGAACCAATAAGGATGCAGAGTTTTCGATCAGGTGACTCAAAGCTGAATCCTGATTGGCTCTCGTAAGGAATCCAGTAGGAAAAATAGTACCGTGTGCCGTTTACTTTAAATCCAGATTGGCTCTCATAAGCAATCCAGTATAAAAAAAAATAGTATCGTGTGCCGTTGGCTTTACATCAGGTGCCTTAAGACTAAAGCCAACGGCACACGATACTATTTTGCCTACTGGATTGCTTACGAGAATCAATAAGGACGCAGAGTTTTAGATCAGGTGACATAAGAAGGCTGAATCTTGATTGGCTCTCGTAAGCAATCCAGTAGACAAAATAGTACCGTGTGCCGTTGGCTTAAATCCTGATTGACTCTCGTAAGCAATCGAGTAGAAGAAAAATAGTATCGTATGTCGTTGGCTTAAGACAACACATTAAAATAAAAATGAAGAACTTCACTCTTATTTTTAAGGTGAAGTCGTTAGCACTCATAGAACTTATAGGCATGAAATAGATGGCCGCCTAACTCGTAAGTACACTGAGAAAAAGTCTTCGACAATTTATTCGTGGCACATAATGCTTATTTCACTGAAATATTTCACTGAAATAAACATTATATGCCACAAATAAATTGTCAAAGACTTTTCTTAGTGTAAGATCACGATAGCCCGTCACGGGCCGGGACGGTCCTTCCGCGACAATCAGTACAATAAGCGAAACTATCACGTAAAGAATAGATTTTCAGTGCTGGCTGTGAATATTAGAATACAGCCTTTATATGCGATGATCATAGTGAACGAACAGTAGCGAAGCTCTCGTCCATGACTTTTATTACTGCTAGCAATAATCGATTAAAGTAAAACATAGCGCTCTTCAGAGTTGAAGAATCAATCCAAGTAAAGCGTGAATACCGGCACTCTTGTAAAAAGTGAAATTGCACTCCAGTTGGACTGGCAGTTATAGTTTCATCATTTCTTGGGGTGAAATCTCACCTCGAAAGAGTGAGATTCTACTCGAAAAAATTTAGAGAGGACCTTTCCTTCTCTTCTTTCTTATTTTGACATCGTGTCTGCCTTAATTGTACTCGACAGTAGGCTTACTTAATCCTTCAGCTGGTACGACGGAAGTCGTACGGGATGAAATATTAATTGCTGATCGAGTAATTAAGCGCCGCCGTTGCGTCGCGTTCAGGAGAATTTAATTGGCCCGCGTTCGCCTTCGCGCGTACACACGCCGGTAAATTTTCGCCGGTGGCTTCGGCGTGCAAACGCATTCGCCGGGCACGCTTCTTGCCAAATTGCGATCAGCTGCTCCGGCATAAATCTCCGACCGGTGTCAACGGAATACCTTCGCGGAATAAACACGCGCGCGAGAGGTATACGGAACGGAGACGGGGAGACGGAGAGAAGAATTTATTGCGCGTTCTGGGATAAATCCCATAAGTGCATTAAAACGTGTGAGACGAGTCCGAGGGGGGGGGGTCGGAAAAATTGCGAGTGGAGACAAAGTTGCGTGCGCCGCGGTACGCATTACATTCTACCGCTCGCGAATTATACGCGTCTGCGGGATCTTCGTTTCTTTTGCAAACGCAAATTTTTGCGATTACATTTTTGAACGTAAATTACCCGCGATAGGAAGTTTCCTATAAAGAACGCGAATACGCGCGTTTCGCTATTTGCGTCTGCGCGCCTGTATAAATCTGCATTTCTCGCTACAACGTTATTTCATTATTTCCGTACTTGTCTATTTTCCGTGGTGTTACACAGTTCGTGGCTAGTAAAGGTAGATAATGAAATCCATTAAACTTATTAAAGTGAAAAATTAGCTCCCGTCGTCGGTTTTTGCGCCCGCGTCTCTAAAATCCGAGTTAGAGCTTATCAGTTTAATTGTAAAATATTAATGCACGTTGTATTGTCATATCCTTATTGGAAAACGTCCTGTTCACTCGGTTTCGAGCAATCGATTTTCGAGCGACTAAAAAAAAATATTCCTCTCTCGTGGAGCTTGTTATCTCCGTGTCGATTTGCGGTTCGTGCAGCCGAGGGCGCATCGCGATGCATCGACAACTCCGTCAGTCGCTGGCAATAAGGTTGAAAGAGAGGAAAAAAAAAAGAAGTATCGTGGATCCGCGATGCGCTTCGCTTCCTCGGCGCACGAAGCTGTTTCGAAGGACAATCGAACGGGGTCAAAAGTCCTCGCGTTGCTACGCGAAACGTTACGAGAAGCCATGGAAACGAGCCGGTCGCGCAAGCGCCTCGCACATTTTCCCTCCCCGCGTTTCGCCCCTCACGGTTCCCTCCTCTCTTTCGATTTTCCGCGATTTCCGGCTGAGCAAGTCGCGAGTTTTCCCACTTCTCGGCCTTTTTCAACATCGAAATCTGGTTGCCTCTTCTCGTCCCGACGCGTAACGATGCGTCCGCCGGACATTCCGCACGTTCGACATGACGTTAATTATGCGTATCGCATTATGACGACCTCAGCGTATCGTTGCACCTCGCCTGTATGCCATTTCGTCGTCGAAATTTCTATTCTCAATGTGAACTTCATCCATGTCGGGCTATTTCGAGCCTCTCTCTCCATTCTGAACACGAACGTTATATCCATGATAGTTTAAGAAAAAAAGAAATATCAATCTTTGAATCGATATATCTAATTTGAGAACAAAGATACATCATTTCAAGTACGTGCTATTTGTGACGTCTTTGAGTCGACATTTAAGATAATAAGATTCGAAAA